ATTTTTCATATATATTTTGAGGACTTAAAAATTTTTTCATATGTGAAATCCTATTTGTCATATATGTTTATATCACATGGTTTAGGTTAATGTTAGAGTTAGGGTTAGAGTAAAGTATATATATAAAGGCGATATATAAGGAGTATCGCCTTCGCGATGAATAAATTTACTTTTAAAAATATATTTAATTTATTAATTGAACATTTTATTATAAAAATTTTATATATATTATAAATTTTGTAATACGCAGATAATTTTTTTTACTTATTTTATTATTATAAATTTCTTTTGTATTTTTTATAAAAATTAAAAAATTTTTTTTAAATTAATTTTATAAATATATATTATTTTATAGAAATTGATATTAATTATATAATAAATTATCTAAAATTACTTATAATATAAAATTTTGTAATTTTTAAAAAATTTATTATTAATATTTATTAAATTTATTAAAGTTTACTTTATATAATATTATAAAATTTATTATAATTTTTATGATTTATTAAGAAATTTTATAATTGTTATTAAAAGTAAAGTGAATTTTTAAGATATTTTTATTTTAAAATTTTTAATTATTTAAAAAACTTCTTAATAAACTTAAAATTTCTTCTAATAAAATTGAAAAATATATACATTTAAAAGTTAATCTTTTTTTTTTAAGTTTGCAAGTAAATTTGCCTGCTAAACAATCTGAGATGATATATTTAATAAATTTATAACTTAATTAGATTATCATCTAATTCATAATTTTATTTTTATATATCTTATTATTATTTTTAATAAAATTAAAAATAAATAAATTAGGTATTACAAAATATATTATTTATTTTATTAAGAATACTGCAATAAAAATTTTCATTTACATAAATCGTTTTCAGAAGTCGACATTGTACAACCATATGCAAATACATGATTAAAAAAAAAAGGTGATTTTTAGAACTTATTTTCTATTGTATTAAACCATAGATTTTACCAGTAATCTTAAAACCAACTTTCTTGTATAAAAGACGGCCTAATATAAGTTGGGTACCCCAAATGATAACCGCAATCCATAACGTCATGACGTCTTCAAACGTTGGTTCAAAAATTGTAGAAGGATCTTCTAAAAAAATAAAGGGAAAAAAAAAAATTTATTTTGATATGCACAATACCAAAAATGGGATTTTAAATTTATGTACCTATTTCAACATGAATTTCCATGAATTCATCTCGATCTTCATCATACACTACTTTCAAATATTCTTTTAAAGGGTCGATATAATTTAATACTATTTTATGATCCATTACTGTTGCTGCGACTAAATCTTGAAAGTTATCATCTTTATGAATGACTTTTTGAGAAGTATTTCTGAGATAAGTGTAGAACTGTTTAACATTAACAAGCTCTTTTTGAGAGTGAGGAGCGCATGCGACATACATCCCATCACGGAATCGAAAGATGGGACAATTCAGCTTTTGATTATTTTGAAGATGAAGAATTACAAATCGATCGGTTGGAGTTACCAAAGTTTCGATTTGGTTTTGAGTGGTATAAGGCTCAAGGCTTTTCCCTACATAGGAAAGGCAATGAGCAACTAAAAAAAAAAAAAAAAAAAAAATCAAAAAAAATCTAATCGGCGTCTTTTTATTAAGGCGTAAATAAATTTATCAAATACTTTACCACGAAGACAGAGAGAACGATAGTACTTGCGTGCAGAGTTCTGAAGTTCGTGGGCTAAGCAACCTTGTTCCATTTTAACTTTTTTTAAAAAAGAACGCGTTGAAATTTATTGAAGAGAGGGAGATAGAAGTGGCGAAGCAAAATGTGGGAACAGTAATAATGAAAAAGCCCAAAAAAAAATTTTTTTTTTTTCCACGCACTAAAAACTATGAGGTTTGTTTATTGAAAAAGCTATGTAATATTTATACAGAATACTTTATTATAGTATAACGATAAATAAATATACTGATATCAAATTCATCATAATCCCGAATTATCATGACATTGTTACTTTTTAGTGTGAACATTAGTGTAAACATAATAGTAACATATTAGTAAAAAATATTGTGATCATTATATAAATATTTACTAAAAATATATCATCTAACTGTCTTTAGACATTACAAGATTTTGAATTACACAAAAAGTTGTTTACATCTGATTGAATTTAACCTGTCAAATTTATTTTGGTTTTGATAAACCAAAAATGAAAAATTCCGCGTTTATTTATTTTTTTTTTTTTCTTTTTTGTTTGTTCTTTAAAAAAAAATTTTTATTTGATTTTTTTTTTTGGGGGTAGATTTAATTTATATTTTAGTGCGGAATTTGCCAATTGAATTAATGTAATTAAAAAAATATAATAATTAACGTTATTCCTAAAAATGTTATAGTGTTCTAATACTATTCCACTATTTGAACAGAATTGAAAAGTTTTCAAAATGAAAAAGCCCGTAAAGAACAAAACAACTCTCCTCGGTCAAAAGACTGGAAATGAAGTCACATGTAGTTCGAAGAACTCATTGCGAAATAAACACCCTTTGAAGGAAAAGACGGATTCAATGGCTGCAAGACTTTCTATGATAACAAAAGAGTTGGTAAGCTTGATTTATGTCACACACATCAATATTACAAAAAAAAGGCTCCGCTAAACCGATCATGTTGATTTGCCTGATCACTACAGGAAGCTATTCCTGATTTATAAAGTAAATGACATCACTTATGATTGACTCTTCTGATTTAATATATTTATAAAATATCATCAGTCTTTCATCTCTCCTCCAAAAGATTCCCTCGACAAATTGGTCGAAGATCAACAACTTTTGATGATTATGGAAAATGAAATAAGTCAATCACAAAAAGAAAAATCTGCCTTATTACTTCGAATTCGTAGAACTAAAATTGAAATCGAAGAGTTACAAAAAAATATTAATCAGGCACATAAAGAAAATAAACCTTTTTTAACATCCGATCAAGATGCATTAATGTATCCCCTAATATCATTTTAATTACAAATCGTTTAATTTATACTGCATATTAGATCTTAACGTTTGTTAAAATCAATTTTCTAAAGTGACAAATTACTTAGTATAAATGATCAATCCCTTTTGGAATCTGTTGGCACTTCCTTACAAGCTGAACCAAATCAACAACATATGAATAATACCACTACTGATAATACTGATCGAGCAAAGGATGTAAGTTTGTACTGTCTGCTTGATTTAAATAAGCACTTATGAATGGCTCACAACAAAACGTGATTTTTTTTTTACAATTAGATAGAACGGTTAACAAGTTTTACAAAAATCAACTTCTTGAAAGTTAGTAATAATTTGATCACAGCTGATGAAGGTAAGCAAAAGATCATCAATAGACATATTCACGTTTTGATAGCGCCTGATCTTAAATTTTTTTTTTTTTTTATTTGTTCAGATTGTATTCGTCGTTATAATCACGCAGGAAATTCTTATGGTATCAACTTTTGTATTGAATTTGAAGTAAATGAAACCGATCTTGTTATCAGAAGGCTTAAAATCAAAGTAGATTCTGGTGTAAAGCGAGAGATAGGAAAATTTATTGAAAAGTAAGAATTATTTCCTTTTTTTTTAAAGAAAAAATTCAATAAATATTCACATTCTTATAATAATAGTGTCGAATACGATAAAAATCTACTGGTCTTTTTCAAAGGTTTTGTTGAGTATGCGCGGTTGAATCATCAACGTAAATTATTATTTGATAATTTGAAAGGAAAATACCATTCCTTGACTTCGTCAAGTAGTCAGACGCATAATACTTTTACCCAAAATACTTCGCATTTGTGTGTTGATGTGCACCCTTCATTAAGATTCTCAGATAAAAGGTTTGAATGAATTGTTTATCATGCACAATTAAAAAGATGTATTATTATTAATCATATCATTTGTCTTAGTAAAATTGGACCAGAATTAATCTTGTCATGGAATTTGAGTATTGGTTCATCTGGTCGTGTTTTCCCTGATGTCAAAATGTATGCACGTACTCCACGTCAATGTAAGTATCCATTTCATTATAAATTCATATTCGTTTTCTTTTTAATATTTCAGTTAATTCAATCTTGAATGCAAATTCATTAGGGACATTATTGGATGAAAAACATATAATTGATAAAATACCAGTTAATTTTCAAAATTTGGCCGAAGTTAAAGGAATTCAATCGGCTATTGAAATGATTGTAAAAAGTTTTTTCAAAGTCCCATGAATAATAAATTTAACAATTTTGAACGTGTTTGGCTTTAAAGAAAATAAAATGGGTTGATTAACAAAATTGAGATTTTTATTGCATTTTAGTTTTTGATGTTATTAGATTAAAATGTATTAAGCTCTTAATTTAAGTAAAAAATTTCTCGGAACCTAATTTTCCTAGAAACCCTTCCAAATGACCTATTTGTGCTAATAAGTGTGATCATGTTAATAATATTTAATGATGAAAAAAAAACCAGTAAAGGGCGAAGGAAATTTAAAACGTAACGCTAACCAAAAAAAGGAGTGAATTTCATTTGACGAGAAAAAAATTTATATATATCTGCAAAATGTCAAAAGAAATTTCCAGGCATGCATATTTGTAAATCTAATTTCCTTTTTCAACAGTATAAAGAGTTATCCCTTATATATATTACGCTAATGTACAGTGTAGCGAAAGGGACCAACCACGTATCGACTCAAATTTTGAGCGGGCGGACAAACAGAAATATGAAAATTTCCGGAAACTCGCCCAGAAATCTCCGATCCCGCGGATCCGTTTCCATTTTTCATTTATTTAACATTTAGATGGATTTTCCACGAAGTGTAAAATTCCTAATTAATTATTACATTTAGCATTTAAATAGGATTTTCCACGAAGTGGAAAAATCATTACTTTTAGCATTCAGATGGGATTTTTCCACTTCATGGAAAATCCTTATTAATAATTACTAATTATGAAAACCTTATTTTTTTTTCCGTCACTTGAAGCGACCCCCGGTAGGGTTACTAGTGTCACCTTACATTGCCCGGATATCAGTTTCCGTCACGTTAATCTATTTAAAAAAACCTGATTTTTTTTTTTTTTTATTACAAATAAAATTTCTCTTATCATTAATTTTTTGATCATTTATCATGGCTTTAGAAAACCAACAGTTACAGGCCGCTATTGAGAGAAACAATATTATAAGCATTAACTATGATACTTTTGAAAACACTGAAGTTATGGCAAGAGGGGCTTTTGGTGAAGTTTCTCGCGCTTATTGGAAAAGTGGTGAAAAAATTGTCGCCTTAAAAAGTCTATATGGCAATACTCAAATGGGAGCTGAAGGGTCTTTTGAAGAATTTTTTAGAGAGGTAAATCATCTTTTCTCTTTTTGTCTTGGAAAATGTAAGGATATTGCGCATAACTATTTTTTTCATTTACAATCAATTTATAGCTTCAATTAATTCGTTCAGTTGATTTTCATGATAATATAATAAGATTTTATGGTGTTAGTGAAGGTATTATATTTAATTCATCGTTTTTTTTTTTTACTGCCATATATACTTTGTTATTTAGTAATACATATATAATTTTGGGTTTTCTTCTTATTTATTTATTTTTTTTAAAAAAAAAAGATCCAGCAACGCGGAGATATTTTATGGTGTTAGAATACGCCAATGGCGGGGACCTTCGATCTTACTTACGTAAAAACCATCAATCAATTAGTTGGAAAATGAGAATAAATATGGCCAAGCAAATTTCTAGTGGCCTCAAATGCATTCATGAACGTAACATAGTACACAGAGATTTAGTAAGCGAATATAATTTTTTTTTTTCCATCTTGATGATCTCGGTGGCTATAAAGTTTAATTTTGAAAAAGTTCCTAAAATAATGTGTCTTCTTTTCATATAGCACTCAAAGAATATATTGGTGCATGATGGAAAAATGATGATTACAGATTTTGGATTGTCAAAATCATTGGACAATAATGAAACATCCCTCGTGGGTGGTATGGTTGGTTATATTGAACCGCTATGTTTTATAAATTCATCTTATAAAAGAGACAAGGCATCAGATATATATAGCTTAGGTGTGTTGTTGTGGGAGTTATCAAGTGGGAGGCCGCCATTTGACAATATGGGGATTTTAGATATAGCCAGTGCTGTTGTTCAAGGAAGAAGAGAAGCCCCAATTAATGGATCACCACCTGAATATGTAGCGATCTATCAGATGGCTTGGAATAATCAACCAAAAAAACGACCCACGATAAATAAAATTCGTGATGATCTTGACAAATTATCAATACAGTCAACTGAGGATGGAGACAATCTTAATACAAACAATTTCGCTGCATTATCTTTAAATTCACCGGGAAAAAATCATTTAGTAGATTCACCCATCATAGAGAATAAAGTGCTTCCCTCGAATAATTTCGCAGCAAATTTTGGCGTGCAAAGTTCATCTGTACAACGTCAACCAACAATACCTTATGGTGTGGCTGAATCAATGAATCCTAATAAGAAGTTTATAATACGAGATAGTTATGCTCAATCAAACAATGGTAATACTGGACAATTAATGAGCCCACCAAATTCAAATGAAATTCTCACTAAGCAGAATACGATACCACTAGGCGTAGCGGAATCGATGAATCCCAATAAACAAAGTAATGCAAGGTTTAGTTATTCTCAGTCAACTAATCAAAATTCATCAGTTGCACCATCCATTCCTTTTGGAGTTGCTAGTTCTATGAATCCGCTTAAATCAAATACATTAGACACACTTTCGAATTACCTGCCAGCAAATAATACAGCTCCGATTCCAAATTTAATGTTATACGGTACAATTCAACAACCTCAGGTCCATCAAATGCCCCCTAATCAACAACCAAATCAGTATACGCATATGCCGACAGCTAATACGCTACAAAGAAATAATACTGTTAACCAATTCACAAATTTCCCGCCAAACCTTCAAAGGAGCAACACTATAGGTCACACTCCACAGAATGTTGGTGGTATGCCCACTACTATAAATCAGCCTCAATTTAATAAATTACCACTGCCTTCTACCAATAATAATTCTCAAGGATTCCAAGCACCTCCAACACAACCGCAATTTCCTCAACATCAACAACCTCAGCAGCCTCAACATCAACAACGATCTCAGCAGCTTCAATACCAACAGCCTCAACCACCCCAGCAGCCCCAACAATCACCTCAACAGCCTCAATACCAACAACCTCAACCACCTCAGCACCCTCAATACCAACAACCTCTACCACCCCAACAACCTCAACAACGACCTCAGCAGCCTCAATATCAACATCCTCAACCACCTCGGCAACCTCAATCATATTCACCTCAGCAGCCTCAATACCAACAACATCAACAACCACCTCAGCAACCACCTCAGCAACCTCAATACCAACAACCTCAACCACCCCAGCAGTCTCAATACCAACAACCTCAACCACCCCAGCAGGCTCAACAACAACGACCTCAGCAGCCTCAATATCAACAGTCTCAATTCCAGCAATCTCAACAGCCTCAACAACAATATCCTCAACAACAGCCCTCAAATCAACCTCAACAACGTCTTCAGCAGCCTCAATTCCAACAACCTCAACAACCTCAACAACATCCTCAACAACAGCCCTCACAAAACTATAATAGTATGCAATACTTTCCACCGCGTCCTAATCAATATCCACAAAATCAAAATATTCAACCAATGCAATATTCAAATCAATCACAATATTTTCAAAGAGGTAATTCTATTGCCTTACCAATCCGACCACCTACATATAATAATCGTATGTTCACCAATTCTTTATATATTTTATAACTGATAATTTATTTATTACGATATAGATCTATCGCAAAAACCTTCACGACCTCCTAATCAGTTTTCTCATCCTCCATCATATATTCAACGCCCAGTAAGTTTATTGGATTATTTTGAAAATTGATTTCAGCAATTGACTTTTTTTTTTTTAAAAAAAAAATAGCTTCATCCATCACAAAACCCACACAAATGTACATGTGATGATACGATGACAAAGTATGTCGAAGAATTTCAAAACACTCGTGGCTATAGCAAACCAACTCAATGTCATGCAGGTTACCACGCAGGGATTGGAGACATCGAAGGATTAAGATGGCATTTATTTTATGATAAAAAAGTGGATGGAACTTATAATTTTAGTGATATGACGGATAAGCTGGTGTTAATTACTGCAAAATTTTGTGGAAGGAAAAGTTTAAATGCTATGTTTCTATGCCTTAAAGAATATGGAGCGAATTTTAATGTTACAACGAAGAAAACCGAAAAAACAGCATTTCATTTATTATTCGATAATTTTAATCTGTGTAATAAAATAACTTATGCTAAGGAAAAACTCGAAAGATATCACAATGTATTTTTTCAGGCAGTTAAGTTCCTGAAAGAAATGGGATGCAATATTAATGCAAAGGATAAAGATGGATATACAATATTAGCACGTTATCTAGGAGAATTATTTTTACATGAAGAAAGAGTACCAATTATAGAATCATTATTGAATAATGGAGCAGATCCAAATATATCAGTAAGTTTAAATAATTGGGGAGAATTTGATGCAAAAACAGCTTTATTACTTGCAGTGAGAAACAAATGGCCAACTTCTGTATTAGAATTAATCGTCAAACATAAAGTAGATGTTAATGCTAGTAATAAAGAAAACAAAAATGCATTATCCATAGCTACTGAAACTAAAGATCATAAAACAATGGCTTGGATGTTGGAACACGCTAATCTTGACCATGAGAGTATTAAAATTGCTAAAAAATTTGCTGGAAATTTTACTACTAAAGAATCTCAATTATTAAAATCTTGGAAAAAAAAGTAAAATATGAGCGAGAGTTCATTTTGATTTTATTTGATATTTGTATTTATTTTTTTTATATTTTTTAAAAATTTAATTAGAAGATTTAAATAAATGGATGTGTAAGATAACTTTATATTTTAAAATAAAACAAAAATTTTTAAAAATGCTTAATATAGATCAAATTTCTTGTGTACATTATTCTTTTGATGGAATTAAAGGCCTATGTTAATGCCCAACCTGTATTCGGGTTTTGCACTTCAAAATCGACACCGTAACGTTCTAAGGCTCGGATTCCGAAACTTTTTCTGTTCGGATCGATCCGAAAAATAATCTAAATTTCGGATTACAAAGAAGGTTCAACTTTATTATTAACTATAATCATTTCAGTCTTTATATTAAGAAAATATTATATATTAATAGTTTAAATGAAGTAATAATGAATTTTTTTTTATTATCTTATACATAATCGTAAAAAAATTTTACAATTAATCTTATTGGGAAAATAAATACCAAAATTTCATTATAACCTTTTTCTTGGTTTAAATTTGAAAATAATAATTATAACGAACGCTTAATATAACTATCACAATAAATTATCGTTTAAACAAATTTTTTAAAACATCTAAAAATCGTTTTTTATCAAATAAATTTAATGGTAATAAGTTTATTATCATTGTTTTAGAATCTAATTCAAGATTTTAAGTAAACAAGAAAATTATGATTTAGAATATAGTAAATAAAATTTGTTTAATACTAAAACAAAATTTGAATTACTTCTTATAGAATTTAATCAACCTATTATTAAATTATTAGAGAATATCTCGTTTAAATCTTTTTAATTTTTTCAAAATCATTTCAAATAGTAATTTTAAAATTAGAATAATATAAACTTTCTTTTATGAATAAAATAAAAAGATTCATTTTTATACATTTAAATTTTTATTATTAATAAATACAATATTATTATAAAAAAAACTAATTTATATTTACTATTAGTAAAAAATTTTAACTTCTGAATATCTGGATTGATATACCAAATTAAGTGGATTATCAAGCATTTTGACAGATAAGATTACGTCAAACTTATATAAAAAATATAAAAAAGAAACCAGACATGAGTCATGACAATTATCAAAAGCTATAGCAAGTATATCAGATCTAAAATAAGTATTTATATTATAAAATAATTAGTATTAAAATAAATATACAAATAAATTAACTATTGTTTAATATCACTTATAATAATCTTATTTAATTCTGATTTATTTTAATCTGTTCTGATGTTTATAAAAATGTTTTAATAATTAAAAAAGTAATATACAGTAAATTAAGTAAAAATATCTATAAATATATTTTATTAATATTCTAACTAATTATATTAGTTAATTAAATAACAAAATATTTTTTTTTATCCAAAGTATTGTTAATATGTAATTCTTGCAAACTACAACTATTAGACAAGATGTTTGAGTAGTTTATACTTTTTAATTGAGCAGTAATCATTCAATAGTTTAACCAATTGTTACTTAAGGCAAAGTTGTCAGAAGTAGTGTTATCATAGGACATTTATGTGACACTGATAGGACATAGATAGAACAGATAGGACATTTGGAATATAGTGTAGAACAGGTTAAAACATATAACTAGAACAACAAATCTCTGAAACATCAAAAATAGACATCACTGATCAGAGGTATTCATTCGATGGCTCTTAATGACTCAACAATTCGCAATGATTATATTTAAAAGATATATTTATTCACAAGCAAAATAATAAAATAAAGAAAAGGAAATATTAGGAAAATAAATAAAGAAAAAACAAGAAAAAAAAAAAAATAAATACTGAAAACAAAAAAATATGACGCGATAGGCCAATTGCGTCTCAATTACTGAAAACTAATTTATCAGATTCCTCTTCTTTTACATGAACTAAAAAACGATCAATTTATATATAAAATAATTATATAGAAAAATATAATAATTATATTAGATTTCTTGATTATGTTAACTATGTCTACTTTATTTATTATGTTAATAATGTCACATATGTTAGACATGTTAGAAATATTAGATATGTTTGATTTGTTATTTTGACCAATTATTTACATTATATATGCTGCATTATATTTATCGTTTACAGTAATTAAATTATTAAATTTTTTAGTCTATTAATCTATTTATTTAATTCAAACTTTAATTTTATGATAATTATATTAGAATAAATCAAAATAAAATTTATATTTTGCTTTTTATATTTAAAATCTGAATACTATTTATAATTATTCAAAGCATAATAGAGAACTTTTCAATTACATATGAGAACATATAATGTTTATCTGTTACTATATAAAATATTTAATCAAATTTTAGAATCAGATATAATAATCAATATTATATGATCAAATAATAATAATAAAAATCAGTATTACTTAAATTAGTATTGCAAATTAATATATATAAAAAATTAATATTAAATTAAACTATTTTTGAGTTTTTTATAATATTAAATGATGCAACAATTTTGGATGTATAACAGTTCCTATTTCTTAGTTTATAATAATCTAAATATAATTAATATCTAGATTTTTAATGTTAAATTTTATAATATTCAAATATTATAAATTTAATTTAATATTTATAATAAATTTAATTACTGATACAGTATATAAAATTAGGAAGATTTTAAAACAATTATTATATTATAACTGATGAATTTATAAAGTTTATTTTAAATAGATTAGATAAAAATGTCATATGATTTATAAAAAAAAATTATATAATATAATTAAAATTTTAAATATTTAAATTATTTATTTATAAGATATTTTTTTTTTTTTTTTTTTTTTTAAAGTTACAGTATCCAGTACATAGGAATTTTTAAACGGAGTATTAAGGTGTTACTCTCTACACCTGAGAATCCCCCAAAGTCGTGACTAGACACATAGTTCTAGCCAGAACCTGCCCTGTAATACTGGTCTAAAGATTGCCACCTAGGTCGACATCCCCAAGAGCTAGCCCTCAGAGTCCCT